CGACCAGCCGCAATCCGATCGAGGGAGGGGGGTTGGAAGAGGAGAGACGGGGGAAGGAGCAGGAGGACCGAAGCGGGGGTCACTTCGTTACGACCGCTCGTGTTGCCAAGTGGCGGCGGTGCAAGACGATGATACCATGGAGCATTCACGTGGACACATGCTTTGCATACTTCCACCGCCCTAGAAGCGAAGATCTTACAGCATCGAGCTTGTTTAGAATCAATGCCTAGAATCTCTGGTGTAAGCAAATGCGCACGAGTGCCAGGTACCCGTTCTGAAGTAGGTGCTGTAACCACCACTGATCTCGAGTCACGCATCTACCGATGTGCGTCTCTATCGTCTCTGAATAAGCTGCCTGATATCCCAACCCGCTGAAATTGTTTCAAGGCGGTCGGCATTAGTTGGGAACACAGGCATCGGAACTGCCTGCCGGCAAACACACTGGAGCAAACACGCCGCCCGCACAATGCTCTGGGAAACATGCGCCCAGCACGTTTTGAGGTATCGTTCGGTGGCAACTCGTGGGAGCCTCCCATACCATCTCGTCGGCTCTTGCGAATCGACGCTAAGTCGACGCCGATCGACGCCAAGCCGGCGCTTTCTCATCGACTCCCAGACGCTACCTGGCGCTCACCGACGCTGAAGACGGAATTCGGAGGGCACACGAGGCTCCCCCGATCTGCCACCGAAGTCCCGTGCCCCTGGAAACACGACTGCCTGAGCCGAGATGGCGTGGACCGACGGCTTGGGCCGGGGCGGCCACGCAGGCGAGAGGAGGCGAGGTGGCGGCACTGCCGGCGCACCCACGCGAAAGAGCAAGGACACAGCGCCCAGGCAGGATCAGGATCGCCCAGGCCATGCAGTGGAGGCCAGTCCACAGGAAGCCTTCCACAAGAAACCCGACCCTGACACCCCAGGACGTCCATCGATGCCTGGTGTGGTGACGCCGCGTTTTCCACGGCAAAGCCATCGACGCCCAAGAAGCCCAGGGCACCCTGGAGGCAAGCCGGGCGTCTCTTGGGCATGGGTCCCCGCTGCAAGAGCAGACGCCAACGACGACAGCAGCACCGAAAACCGACCGAACCGACAGCGGCACAGAGGCCGACGGTCACCGCACAGGCCGAGAGCACCCCGACGGGAAGCAACGACACAGCAAAGGGCCGAGCCGAGCTGACAGAAAAAAAAAGCAGCCGACCGCGGCGCTGACCGTCCCGAGTCGCGGGCACCGGTGCGAGCGCAAAGCCGCAACCAAAAGAGGACGCCCCACGGCGCGCGCCGCACGCTCGCGCACTACGCAGGCAGGCGTGACGCACGTCGCGTGCACCGACGACCGCCCCAGGAGGTAACGACGCGCCAGGGCCAGGCCCAGTCAAAAGACAGGGCCGTCCAGAGAGCTCGATGCTCAACCCCGGCTCGACGACGACGACGCCAGCGACGACGGCAGCAGCGACAGCGGCGATAGTGGCGACGACGACGACGACGAGGACGACGACGACGACGACGACGAGGACGACGACGACGACGACGACGACGACGACGACGACGACGACGACGGCGACGACGGCGTTGGCGACGGCGACGGCGACGGCGACGGCGACGACGACGGCGGCGTTGGTGGCAACGGCGACGGCGACGGCGACGATCACAGCGACGGGGAGGGCAACGAGTGGGTCGAGGCCTGGCTCGGGAGGCCAAGGCCGCCATCGCGCCCGGGTGGGGCGCGACGGCTGTGGCGGCTGCCCCGCTCCGGTCTGCGTGAGGAGCCCGCGCGGCGGCGGCCTGCCTCGAGGTCATCCTGCTCCTCACCATCCTCGTCCTCACCCCCCGACCACAGCTCCTGGCCCCCATCATATGTCTGGGTCGCCCAAGCATACTAATACCTTGTGTGCGTCGCCAACGGTAGGGCGACGCACGCGCAAAGAAATCGCATAGTCGGTGACGCAAGCGTCAATTGTCGGTGGAGGGCTCCTTCTGACAATACCGCGCGGGAAACTAATTCTTAGAAGATGTTGTACTATATGTTCGGGTCGGAGGCACGCCTCCAAGGGGGATACGTGATACTAGTATGCACTTGTGCGTCCCATTACATTCCTGTCTCATCACAATCATCTCCGTCATCGTCCTCACGCGTCTCAACATCGTCCTTACGCGTCATCTTCACCATCATCTCCATCATCATCATCATAATCATCGTCAGCAGCATCATCATCAGCAGCATCAGTATCAGCATCAGCATCAGAATCATCATCAGCATCATCACCATCATGTCCGTCATCGTCATCATCACCACCAGCATCAGCATCATCATAATCTCCACCATCATCCCCATCAGTACTAGTATGCCCTTGCGCGTCTCAGCATCTTCCTTAGTATCATCACCACAAATCACCACCATCGTCGGCATCATCGTCATGATCCTGATCAGCATCATCATCAGAAGCAGCAGCAACAGCATCATCTAATCATCCTCTTCATCTCCTGCCTCCTCGTTCTCCTTTCGAGATACTCATTCTCAACCCCGTCCCCCTCCCCCTACACCTCCCCCTAACCTCCTCATCGTCATCCTCAGCCTCTTCGCGCTTTTCCTCTTCATCCGCACCCGTCTCATCCTTCTCATCATGTGAACCGTTCTTAACGTTCGCATTAACCGTCACCTACAATCAACCGCTACGAACATGAACACCAGCATCAGCATCGTCATCGTCATCATCGTCATCATCATCAGCATCATCAGCATCATCACAAGCACAATCAGAAATCATCATCATCGTTTTCATCATCAGCATCATCACCATCATCGTCATCATCGTCATTAGCATCGTCATCGCCATCATCATGATCATCATCATCAGCGTCATCAACAGCAGCATCATCTACATCAGCATCATCATCATCACCATCATCAGCGTCATCAACAGCAGCATCATCTACATTAGCATCATCATCATCCTCCTCCTCCTCCTCCTCCTCCTCATCATCATCATCGTCGTCATCGTCGTCATCGGCGTCATCGTCGTCGTCGGCGTCGTCGTCAGCATCACCGTCGTCATCGTCACCGTCCTCGCCACCCATCCCGTTCGCCGCCGTCGCCGTCGCAGCCGCCGCGGCCCTCAGATCCGTGGCGAGAGCGCGCCCGTGGCGCCCCTCCAAAGGAAGGGAGGTCCCCCCGTGGCTGCCTCCCCCCCCTGGGGCCTGCCCTGCCCGAAGCCCCCCCCCCTCCTCCTCTCCTCCCCTCCCCCTCCTCTCCTCCTCCGCCTCCTCCTCCTCCTCCTCCTCCTTCTTCCTCATCCTCCTCCTCCTCCTCCTCATCTCCTCCTCCCTCCTCCTCCTCCTCCTCCTCCTCCTCCTCCTCTCCTCCTCCTCCTCCCTCCTCCTCCTCCTCCTCCTCCTCCTCCTCCTCCTCCTCCTCCCCTCTCCTCCTCCTCCTCCTCCTCTCCTCCTCCTCCTCCTCCTCCTCCTCCTTCCTCCTCCTCCTCCTCCTCCTCCTCCTCCTCCTCCTCCTCTCCTCCTCCTCCTCCTCCTCCTCCTCCTCCTCCTCCTCCTCCTCCTCCTCCTCCTCCTTCCTCCTCCTCCTCCTCCTTCCTCCCCCTCCTCCCCCTCCTCCTCCTCCTCTCCTCCTCCTCCTCCCCTCCTCCTCCTCCCTCCTCTTCCTCCTCCTCCTCCTCCCTCCTCCTCCTCCTCTCCTCCTCCTCCCTCCTCCCCTCCCCCTCCTGCCCCTCCTCCTCCCTCCTCCTCCTCTTCCTCCTCCTCCTCTCCTCCTCCTCCTCCTCCTCTCCTCCTCCTCTCTCCTCCTCCTCCTCCTCCCCCCCCCCCCTTGGGCCTCCCCCCCCCCCCTTCCCCCCCTTTCTCCCCCTTCTTTCTCCCCCCCTCCCTGGGCTGCGCCTGGGGGCACAGGCGTTGCCACGGGCGTGCCGCAGGAGGCCATCAGACGCGACAGAGGGTCCGGGAATGAAATGGAGCTCCCGAGCGAAGTGAGCCCCGGCCTCCCTCTCAGAAATCGTGGGGGGGGGTAGGAGTAGGGTTCGCATGTGGCCCCCTAGCAGGAGCCGACAGCAAAGAGCCGGAGCCGACACCGAGGGCTGGCGGCGCGCACAGGGGGGCAGGGGGAGGGGGGGAGGCGTCTTAGAAGGGGCCTGCTTCTTAGAAGGCGCCGGCCTGACATGTAATTGTAGAGAAGGCCCGCACCTTCGAAGAAGCAGGGGTGCGTCTGAGAAGCCTTCCCCCCTCCCACTAAATTCCCCCCCTCTGCGCGCGGCCGAAAAGGAGCCCCACTGCCACTGCTGGGGCCCGCGGCGCGCGTCCTGGCCCTGAGCACCACCTCGCCGCGCGCCTGCCGCTCACGCCCGCCTGCCGAGACGTCCCCACGCCCGCTCGCCCCCGCACCTGCTCCACTCGCACCCTCCTCCCCAGCAGCCAGCCTCGCGGACCACCAGCTTGGACGCCCGAAATGAAAGGCCTCCCAGATGGGGTCCAGGCACATGGGGTCGGAGGAACGGGCCGCATCGCCAATGCATCGCCGATGCATCGGCGATGCATCGGCGATGCACTGGCGATGCATCGTCGACGTGGGCGATGCATCGGCGACGTCGGAGCGAAGCCAAACGGGCCCCACATCGAGCCGCATCGTCGATGCATCGGCGATGCGGCGCGATCCTCCAACCCCATCTACTCCGACACCATCTAGGAGGCCTAAAGCTAGGTCGGGCATGTCCTTCTACAGGCGCAGGTCAGGCGAAAAATGGAAAATACTCCAAGCATACCCAAAACAAATCGAAAATGGATGAAAAAGAAATTCTCCACTGACTATGCTTGACTATTTTTGAATCTCCTTCCTGCAGAGGGACAGGCCCGACTGAAAAGCCTAGAGACGTGGGCAAAGAAAGCTTGGCCCCACGCCCGGCAGCACCTGCTGCCCAGAACCGACAGGTGGCCGCCGTCGGGCGCGCGGCCCCCCGGCCTCCGGTGGACCACGCCCGCGGCGACGCCGACCTGCCCCCCCCCCGCGGGACCTCGCCCGGGACTTGGACGCCCGTCATGGGCTCCTCACCGCGCCTCGTGGGGGGGAGAGGGCGAGCGAGAGACAGGAGAGGATAGCTGGGCGATCCGAGGAGAGGGCGATCACGAGTAACGAACGTATCCTTGGACGCCCGAAATGGGCACGGAAAGCATGGGCACAGTGCCCAACAACAAGTGTTGTCCCAAACCAGCAGCGGCCGCCGCTGGGCAGGCGGCCTTCTGCCTCCAATGGACACAGGCCGCGGCGGCGCGGGCAGCGAGTCCTGTTCAAAAGGAACAGGAACTGCTGTTGGGCATTGCACCCGTTCTTTCCGTGCCCATCTCGTTCGTGCAGACGGGATGCGCTCTGACCAGAGTCTCGAGGCGAACCCGGCGGCGGCGACGAGGGGCCCCTGAGCGCGAAAAAATGGGGAGAACGGTCGAAGGCAGCGGCGTGGGCATCTGTTCCTCCCCCAGTGCTCAGAGTGAACACGACATGCTGTCGGTCTTCGTACAATAGGAGCTCGACCACAAGAAACCTTCCACCAAAAACCCAACCCTGAGACCCCAAGACGTCCATTGATGTCTGGTGGGGGAACGCCACGCTTTCCGTGGCAAAACCATCCAAAAACCCACGACACCCAGGGCACCCTGGATGCAAGCAGGGTGTTTCTTGGCATGGGTTCCCACTGTACCCACCTTGACCGTACCGAGCCAGGCCCTCCGCGTCCGGCATGGGCACCGGCCCCGGCGCGCGTCGGGCGCGGCCAGCCCCGTGGCGAGCCACGGTGCGGTCGCTCTCTTTTGCGAGTCCGCGCACGGCTGCCGCGGCGGGATCAGATTCGCATGTACCGCACGCCGTGCGGGGCGGGACCCCGGACGCGGCGGGGTGGGGTGGTCGCTGGGGCGCGCGCTGGCGGAGAGCGGCAGGTCTGAGCAGGGACCGACCGTCCCGGCACTCCTGTGGGCCTACCACGACGTCCTCAGAACCCAGAGATGCGCTACGAACAGAGACAATGTTCTTAGCACACAGAGCCGAGGTGATGCAAAGTAACACAACATCAGCGCGAAATGCTCTCAGAACATTTCGCGCAGACCACAAAAGGTTCTTAGAACAGACTTTGGTGGGCCCATAGGCTTGGATCGGGCATGTCCTCCTACAGGCAGAGCTTCAGTCTAAAGATCGGCCCCATACAGTTTTGACTATTTTTGAACTTTCCTCCTGTAGACACGCCTGACTGAACCATCGGCAAGCCATGCATGGGCGACGCCGGCGACAGATCGGCGACGCCGTCGTGGGCAAAATCGGGCTCCGCACCGCGCCGCTTCGGATCCTCGGACCCCGTCTGCTCGGATCCCACCTGGGAGGCATAGACGCTTGGGCGATCCAGGACGCTTCGCCTCATGCCGGGCGTGTCCCCCTACGGGGGGATTTTCGACGGGAAAAAATCATGCAGCTCCACTTGGGGGTGGCGGAAGCGGGGGGGCAACCAAACCGCCGCTGAGACAGCAAAAGGCCGCTCAAAACACAACCAAACGCGCTTAATTGCACAACGATGCGCAATAGCAATGGAATCTCCCATCGGGAAGGGCGCCACGCAAAATCAAGCTGGCACAGCGGAGCCGTAGAGTGGGTAGTTCGGAACAACGTCCTGGCGCAACCGCGCACCATTGTAACACGTTGCGGCACAGACGCTTCGCGACATCGAACCATTGAAACGCTGCCAGCGGCCAAATCGGAACTTTTTGGGGAATTGCCCCAAAGACCGACTCGCGTGCAAGACCAGAGCGCTGCGAAGCAAGAGGAACCGCGCTGCTGACGCTGGTGAGGCGAAGACGGGCGCGGCATTGATGCCATGGGCCACTCGGGCGGTGCCCTGGTGAACACTCTGCCAGATCGAGCGTTCAAGAAGAGTTCTGAAGTGGTGTCTTACTGCGCGCGTGCGAAAACGGAGCGGTTTCTCTGGGTGGATCACGCGCGAAGAACGCTCGCGGCCGCAGTGGGCATAGGGCCTCGCTATGCGAATGTGCGCGTTCGTTTCTCCAAACCATCCTGTGGTGTTAGGCCCTCGTTCTGAGGAGACAGTGCCCGGCGCTCCTTCCTCCTTTCCTCCCTTCCTCCTTGTCCCCATCCTCCCTTCCCCCTCCTCCACCATGCGCCTCCCGCGCCCAGGAGAACGCTTCGGGGCCCCTATGGGGGCTCAACGAAAGCCCCATCGGCTGCACTCGCATGCGGTTCCCCCATCCAGGACTGCGTTTCGCGTCTCCAAAGAGGTTCCCATCGAAAGCCCCAATGGCTGCGCGCGCATGGATTTCCCCACTCAGGACAGCGTTACGTGGCCCCGTAGGGAGCCCCACCGAAGGCTCCAGTGGCTGCACTCGCATGCGGTTCCTCCGCCCAGGACAGCGCTACGTGGCCCCGTCGAGAGCTCCACCGAAGACCCTGGTGGCTGCACTCGCGTGCGGTTCCCCCGCGCGTTCCGTGGCCCCGTCGGGAGCTCCGACGGAAAGCCGCAGTGGCTGCACTCGCGTGCTGTTCCCCCGCTCAGACAAGCGTTCCGTGGCTCTGTAGGGGTCTCCACCGAAGGCCCCAGTGGCTGCACTCGCATGGGGTCCCCCCACCCAGGGCAGCGCTACGCGGCCCCATAGGGAGCTCCACCGAAGGCCCCGGTGGCTGCACTCGCATGCGGCTCCCCTTCTCAGGACAGCGTTTCGTGGCCTCATCGAGAGCTCCACCGAAGGCCCCAGTGGCTGCACTCGCATGCAGGTCCTCACCGGGGACAGCGTTTCGTGGCCCCATATGGGGTTTCTTACTCATCATACTGCCCCTCCTCCTCCTGCTCCTCCTCCCCCCCTGCTCCTCCTCCATCCTTGTTTGTGCCATCCTCCCTCTCGCGACCTCTCCTCCCAATGGCCGTGACGGGACTGCAGGCGGCAGGCATCATGTTTTTTTCGAAACGGAAACTTGAAAAGTTAGCCTGGCGATGGACCCAACCATATGCAGGTGTGGGTTACGCAATGTTGAATATCGTCTTCGATGGAGCTCCCGATGGGTCCACGAAACGCTGTCCTGGGTGGGGGAACCGTACGCGAGTGCAGCCATTGGGGCCTTCGGTGGACCTCCCGATTGAGCCGAGAAACGCGGTTCTGGGCAGGGAAACCGCATGCGAGTGCAGCCACCAGGGACTTCGGTCGAGCTCCCGGCCACGAAACGCTGTCATGGGCGGAGGAACCGCATGCGAGTGCAGCCACTGGAGCCTCCGGTGGAGCTCTCTACGGGGCCGCGAAACGCTGTCTGGGTTGCGGGGACCGCATGCGAGTGCAGCCACTGGGGCCTTCAGTGGGAAATCCGATAGGGACACAAAGCGCTGTCCTGGGTGGGGGAACTGCATGCGCGCGCAGCCGCTGGGGCCTTCGGCGGAGTAACACGAGCGGTCCGCAGGGGGGAGCAGGAGGAGGAGGATCAGGATGAGGAGAAGCTAGCTGGGGTGGAAAGTGAGGAGTGAGGAGGAGCATGAGGAGCACGATGAGATCCATGGGAACCCTATTGACGATACATTGGAATAACAGGCAGGAACATCTTAACTGGCTTGGGACTGCGCGGCATTCCCAAAAAGGTATTTTGAGAGAGGAGCGGGGCCCCAGCGTATACTATGGAACTCTCGTTTTGAGGCGAATTGAGAAACATTGAGACGGATTGAGAGAAATTGAAATCTTTTGGGAGAAATTGAGATATAATTCGCCGTTCAAACCGTGGATTAAGAGAAATTGAGACGAGAAAGGCGGTCCAGTTGAGGACAATTGAGACCGTTTGCGGTGTCCAATGGAAGTTTTCGAAAGGGTTTGATGGCAATGCGATTTGGGAGCATGAGGGAAGCAGCAGAAGGATGTGCGGCAGGATAAGCAAACAGCGATGACCCGATGGCATGGACCTTGGCAACTGGAGCCAAAACATATTTCCCAAACGAGGGTAAACGGTGGAGGATGCGCATGCCACAGGGCCTTGTGCTCGTTAGGGGCGCGCTAGAATGCCAAGGGCTGTCTGGCAGGGTTTCTGCAAGTCTTCTCAGGGGCTGCCACCGCCCCTCTCGCCGCAGAGCGCCGCATGCATCGGGCCCCGCTTCCCCAATGAAGAACAACAAATGCTCACTCCCGCAACAAGGATCCTCCGTGGAAGTACATCAGGTCCACGCTCTCGCGGCAACGATTCCTCGCAAATGTGCCTGGAGATGGGTTCCGCAATTGTGAATATTTCATCTTCGATGGAGCTCCACACGGGTCCACGAAGCGCTGTCTTGGGTGGGGGAACCGCATGCGAGTGCAACCACCGGGGCCTTCGGTGGAGCTCCCGATCGAGCCGAGAAACGCGGCCCTGGGTGGGGGAACCGTACGCGAGTGCAGCCATTGGGGCCTTCGGTGGACCTCCCTATTGGGCTACGAAGCGCTGTTCTGGGTGGGGGGGACCGCATCCGAGTGCAGCCACCAGGGCCTGCGGTGGAATCCCCGCTTGAGCCGAAAAACTTGGTCCTGGGCGACCGCATGCGAGTGCAGCCACTTGGCCTTCGATGGAGTTTCCGATTGAGCCGAAAAACGCGATCCTGGGCGGAGGGAACCGCATGCGAGTGCAGCCACTGGGGCCTCGTCGGAGCTCCTGACGGGGCCACGAAACGCTGTCCTGGGCGGAGGGAGCCGCATGCATGTCCGGCCACATGGGCCTTCGGCGGAACTTCCGATGAGGCCACGAAGCGCTGGCGTGAGTGCTGGAACCGCATGCGAGTGCAGCCCTAGGGGCCTTCTGCGGGGCTCCCCATGGGGCCACGAAGCGCTGTCCTGGGTCGGAGGTTCGCATGCTAGTGCAGCCACCGGAGCCTTCGGTGAAGCCCACTTATGGGGCCACGTAGCGCTGTCCTGGGTGGTGGAACCGCATGCGAATGCAGCCACCAGGGCCTTTGGTGGGGCTCCCCATGGGGCACGAAGTGCGGTCGTGGGTGGGGACGCGCCTGCGAATGCAGCCACCAGGGCCTTCGAAGGACCTCCCGAAGGGGCCACGACATGCGATCCTGGGCGGAGGGGATCGCATGCGAGTGCGGCCGCTCGGGCTCTAGGTGGAGCTCCTTCTCGGGCTACGAAGCGCCGGCCTGAATGGGGGAACCCCATGCTGCTGCAGCCGCTGGGGCTCTCGGTAGCAACCCCTATGGCGCCACGAAACGCAGTCCTGGGTGGGGGAGCCGCATCCGAGTGCAGCCACTGGGGCCTTCGGCGGAGACCCCTACAGAGCCCCGAAACGTTGCCCTGTGTGCGCCAGGCGCATGGTGGAAAAGGGAGGAGGGAGAAGGGGGCGAGGAGGTGAGGAGGAAGGAACGCGGGGCACTCTCTTCGAAACGAGGACCTAACACCACAAGATGGTTGAGAGAGGCGACGCTGGCGAAGAACATATTGGGGGACGGCCTCCAGAACCGCTTCCAAAGTCGGGCATTCCGAAAACATCTGCCCTTGACCCAGAGCAAAGAAGACATTGATCCGGCTGGTCTCGTTCCAAAGCGCACAATCGCAATGACGTGTCCAGACGTAGAAAAAGAAACGTCGATAAACATGCACCCAGGCCCCAACCGCTTCAGTCACACGCAAAGCCAACCCAGAGCGACATCGAGGCGTTTTCAAACTGTCGCATGGGCGAAAATCATGAGAAAATTCCACATGCGCAGGCCGCCTTCCGAGAAACAAAAAGACGACCTCGCACCAGCAAGCGCGCTCAATTTTCGCCCCCCCCGTTGACGCCACGCCCCGAGTGGAGCTGAAGGAAAAAAATACACCAAACAGGTCCAAAAATGCTCAAAAAGTAGTCCCTGGACTACTTTTGGATTATTTTGGGGGCATTTGTTATTTTTCGTCGAGAATCCCCCTGTGGGGGGACAGGCCCGACTTAAGCTTCGCCCCTGCTCGACGGGTGCTTGACGGGGAGAGGCCCCAGCCCTCCGAGGGGGCCGCGCCGGCCGCGGCGGCCGCGGCGCCGTGGCCGGGCGCGCCCTGGGCCACCCCCCGGGGGAGCACACCGCGGGCGGCACGACGTGCGTGCGTGCACCCGTGGCCGGTCGGGCCCACAGCCGAGCACGCCTCGCGGCGGCGAGGGCTGGATGGAGCCGGGGCCTGGGCGAGCAGGAGGGCTCCAGGGGCTCCTCGTGGGAGCGCAGCGCTCTCCAGGACTCCGGGAGGACGCCAGGAGGACGCCAGGAGGACTGCGGGATGCAACTCTTGCCCTCGCGCACACACGCGGCACAACCCCGCTGCCAACGGCGGCTCCCCGACGCCGACCCCGCGGGGTCCCTGGGCGGCCCGACGCCTCGCCGGGGCTCTCCCGAGGCTCCACAGCCAGCGGCTTCCAGGGCGGCCCGGGAGAGCCACCGAGGCCTGGGGCGTGGCCAGGCGCGGCCCCCAGGAGCTTTGAAGGGGCCCTGGAGCTTCCCAGCAGCCCCCAGAGAGACCCCAAGGTGGCAAAGAGCCCCCGAGAGGCTGACAAGACAAGAAAGAGAACACCGAGAGGCCATCCAGGAAGACCGAGAGGAAACAGCAATACCCGTAAGAGATCCACAGGCGTTGAATACTGTACTTGTCCCGAGCCTTTCGGCTCAAGATGGTTCCAAGAGGGCCTCGCAGAACCCCCCAAGGATAAGCCAAAAGATCACAATGGAAGGTCCCGAGAGGCCCCTGAGACGACCTCGGACCGCCCCAAGAAGGCGCAAGACTGCCCAAGGGGCCCCCAAGACCACCCTTGAGGAACCCTCGATGGCCCAAGAGGGCCTCGACTTCGTAAGTGTCCCACCGCGTTACAAGGTCATCACGATCCGCGGCGCGACCTGCCACCCGATGTCGCGCTTCCCGCGCCCATCTTCCCGCGTTCGTGCCGACCCGTGAGAACTCTTCGGACCAGATCGCGATGCACGAGGCGCGATCATGTGCGCGCCCCTGCCGGTGAACCCGTGTTGCTTGCTGGCGCGCGCAGAGGGGTGGGGCAAAGGCGGGGAGGCGTCTTAGAAGCTCCCCTTTCTTCGAACAACCCCTCCTAGAAGCCTCCACTCTTGTCTAATAAACCCCCCTGCCTTCTCCGAAGGCCGCCCCTCTGTGCCCCCTCCTTTCTCTGCGCGGCGCCCAGTGCAACCGTGGCAACCCGTTTCGCTCGAAAGGGCCATGCGTGAAGGAAGAAGAAACGGCATAAACAGAAAAGTTTGGGGGTCCGCGCAGATTTCTTGGATCTGCGCTGGACCCCCCTTCCCCAGCGCGCGGAGCGCACCAGGGGCGGCGCCAGAGGCGCCGCCAGGGGGGGCCCAGCGCGGACCCAAGAAATCCGCGCGGAGAGCCAAGAGTTTATGCTCGTAGCGTTTCTCTTCTTCGAGTGCACGAACACTTTAGAGGACGAGGAGGAGGAGGAGGAGGCGGAGGAAGCGGAGGAGGAGGAAGCGGAGGAGGAGGAGGAAGAGGAGGAGGAGGAGGAGGAGGAGGAAGAGGACGAAGGGAGAGGAGGAGGAGGAGGAGGAGAAGGAGGAGGAGGAGGAGGAGGAGGAGGACGAGGGAAAGCAAAAGGGGGCAAGACGAGCCACTCGCACTAAAGTACCCGCACCGAACGCGCGCGCACCCCGCCGACGACCCCGCCCCCCGATGTCTATGGCGGGCTCGACCACGGGCTCCCCCCAGGCAGAGGCCACCACCTCGGCACGCAGCGCGGTGCACGCCCAGCGCTCGTCCCTGTCCTTGCCCCGGGCGACGTGCTCGAAGCGCAGGCTCACGAGCATGATGACGCCGTCCCTGTGCAAGGGGGCCCAGAGACACACACACACACACACATGAACAGGCACACAAACCCCAGGAATCCGGCCCTTTTTCGTGGTCTTCCCCCCCCACACACTTCCCAGATTTTCCGCACGTGTTCCCGGGCGTCGACGGCTCTTCGTGCCCGCGCGTGTCTTTCCCTCCCGACCTGTGGGCCACGACGAGGCGGGGCGCCCAGCGGCGCGCGCCGCCAGCGCCCGTGGAGAGCAGGCGCTCGTCCTCGGCCGCCACGGCCGGCGGGAGGACGTAGGAGACCTCGACCGAGCCGACCTCGACGGCGAGGTCGGCGTCCCTCTTCCTGGCGGCCGCCTGTGGGCGCAGGAGCGGGAGGCTTGCCATCGTGGTTCTCCTCCTTCTCCTCCGCCTCCGCCTCCACCTCCTCCTCCTCCTCCTCCTCCTCCTCCTCCTCCAGTGACACAACAGGAGTGCTACTTCCCTCTCCCCCAAATTATGTGCTGAGAAGGTTCGTCCTGGCTCCGCGCATTGTTTCCTGCATACAAACTCGACCCACGAACCCGGAAAGGGATACAGAATGTGAAGCATGGCATCGTTTTCAAGACATCTGATTGGTTGACGGGCAATTGCAATTCTGAGTGTATCGATCCTGCTGTTCAGTGCCAAGGGCTGTGATGTGCTGTGCCGTGCTGAACTGCGCTCTGCCATGCCGCGATTGTGCTCTAAAGCGTTGTGGATCGAGTCCTCGTTAGCATTCGAGTCATGACCGAACTGATCTGCATCTGTAGCTCGAGCTGCCTGAGCACATAATAGCCGCCCCAGAGCTAGTTGAAGTGGAAACATGGAGGACGCTCAATCAACTAGACCTCAAATCCGAATCAGCTCCAGCAAGGAACGACACGACACGGGGCACCGGCTCACGGACGCGCCACAGGATGTGCCAGGGGCGCAATAGGGGATGCGCCAGGGGACGTGTCAGGGGACGCATCAGGGGACGTGCCCTGGACGTGTCAGGGACCTGCCACGGGACGTGTCAAAGCGCGTGCCATGGGGCGGCCAGAGGACGACATGCCAAGGGACGTTGTAAGGGGCCGACCACAGAACGGGAAGGGGAAACGCCTGGGGACGAGCAAGGAAACACGACAGAGGACGAGCCAGGGAACGTGCCACGCCGAGTGGCGTACTAAAGGACGTGCTAGGGCACCTCACGCCAGAGAGTCGCAAGACAGGCACCTGGGGGCGCGCCAGGGCGCCAGGGGACGCCCCACGGACGGGCGGGGCTGGACTGCGACGCACTCTACTGCGACAAGCGTCTCGCCAGAGACATCCTCAACAAATCTTCATGGTAGACATCCGCCTGGGCGACCTGGACACGTGAAACCAAGCGTCTCGCTCGAAACATCCTCAACACGTCCTCATGCTAGGCATCTGCCTGAAAGACCTGGACACGTGAAAACAAACGTTTCGCTCGACACCTGCTCAACAAATCCTCATGTTAGACATCCGCCTGGGCGACGTAGACACGTGATAACAAGCGTTTCCCTCATCACATCCTTAACACATCTTCATCTAGACATCCGCGTGGGCGAGCCAAACACGCGAAAACAAGTGTCTTTCTCGAAACATCCGCAACACATCCTCATGTTAGACATCCGCCTGGGCGACCTGGGCAACAGAACACAAGCGTTTCGCTCAACACATCCTCAACACATCCTCATCTAGACATCCGCCTGGGCGAGCTGGACACGTGAAAACAACTGCCCTTCTCGAGACATCCGCAATGGTCCGCATGTTAGACATCCACCTGGGCGACCTGGACACGTGACACCAAGAGTTTCGCTCAACACATCCTCAACACATCTTCATGCTAGACATCCGCCTCAGCGATCTGGACACGTGAAAACAAGCGTTCCGCTCAAAACATCCTCATGATAGGCATCCGCATGGGCGACCTGGGCACGTGAAATCAAGCGCATCGAGAGAGACATTCTCAACACATCTTCACGTTAGACATCCGCCTGGGCGACCTGGACACGTGAGACCAAGCGTTTCGCTCGAGACCGTCTCAACACATCCTCATGCTAGACATCCACCTGGGCGACCTGGACACGTGAAAACAAGCGCGTCTCTCTCTCTCTCTCTAGAGAGAGAGAGAGAGACACACAAACACATCCTCAACAAATCCCCATGTTAGACATCCGATGACCGCGAAGTGGGTCAAGGCCGCCGTTCTGACAGGCAACTCCCACAGATGGAGGCGACGGCCGTTGGGAAAGGACGGGTGTTGCCATGGGAGGGGCAACGCTGGTAGCCACCAGAGAGGTGAAGGTCATCGCCTGGAGAAAGGATGACGAACCCAACCGCCCAGGGCGGGAAGCGGGGAGCGGGAGGGCGAACGAGCATGCAATGAATGGTTTTTGTCCGGCGGCAGCGCCATCGGCACGCGCCTAATGACTAGCCTTTGGCGCCTGTCGGATGTCAAGGGCGCCCGGCAACGAAGGCCTTCAGAGAGGCCTGGCGTTTGGCCGGCGGCCGGGCGCCATCGCTGCCTCCGCTGTCTTCCGCGAGTTTCGTGGGATTGGTCCGCCGCGGCGTACACAGCAGGCTCGCCGTCAACTGACGGCGAGCCTGCCCAGCACGTCGCCATCATGCCGTCGTCGGCCAGGAAGCACCACGCGAAGGACAGCGAGGCAAGGTCGCAAAAATCCAGCACGGCGTGCCGTAGGTAGGGTGGTGTCGTGTGTCTCCTGGTCGGATCCACGTGGACGCCATCAGGGAGGGCCTCAGGCTTGAGGAAGCTTCATGGGGCCTCGGGTGCTCACGGCGCCGATGGCCCTACAGCTGGCCGAAGCGAGTAGAGATGGGCTGTCCCGCGAGATGAAGCGGCGGCCGCCCAATGAAGTGTCATTGCACCGGCCTTGCAGACGTGCTGCAGCGGATTTCTGCGTGGATTTCTGCGTGGATGTTTGCCCGAAACGGCAAGCGAAAAACGAAGTGAATTTTGCGTGGATGTTTGTTTGGTGTTCATTCCTGGCCAAAAACACACACACACACACACACACACACACACACACACACACACACACACACACACACACACACACACACACACACACACACACACACACACACACACACACACACGTAATTCACCTCGAAATCCGGAACGAAATTCTGCAGGATACTCCGGGCCCACCCTGTCGCTTCCCGAACGAAATCCGCTCTGCGATGTTGGCGCGATGAGAAGTGGGGGCACGGACATTTGTCCCCGAGGGGCCGGGGATCTGCTAACCTGGGTCGATCAGACCCGGGTCAGTAAGAACCGAACATAAACTGCAGTGCAAGAAACCAAAACTGCAACGCAAGGCAGTGCAAGCTCGGGTCGGCGAATATGCGCGGCCGCCTCGCGGCCACCATCAGCTCGCCAACCCGGGTCAGCCAGAGGGGGTGTTCGCAGGATCCCGAAGGGGTCGGGGATCTTCTGACCGGGGTCAATCCAAACCTGGGTCAGTCGGGCCTGGCAGAGGCCTGCAGGATCCTGCACCCAGACCCGGGTCCATGCGAAGGATCCTGCGCGATCCTGCAGGATCCTGCACCCCAAACCCGGGTCGATGCGACCCTGGCCCCTGCAGGATCTTGCAGGATCGGGTGCCCTGCCCGACCCCCGTTTGCACTGACCCCCACCCCCCGTCTCTCGAGCCCTCGAGGGGGGGGTCGTCTTGCCGCCGGGGCCGTCGCACTGCTACCGGGGCGGCCCACCTCTCGCCTTGGGTCGGGCGTGTCCCCCTTCAGGCGGACTTTGGACGAAAACTAGAAAAACAAAAAAAACGTTATATAATATAATATGTTCTTGAATATAAGCAAAAACAGAGGGGAAACAAACGTCCCCTGACATTTTTCACTATTTTGGAGCATTCCTCCTGTAGAGGGCCAGGCCCGACTTAATTAACTCTGGCCCTGAGCGGAGTGCGGGGCGTCCTGGGTGCCCGTTGGGGCCTCGCGGCGCGTTTCCGTGGGGTCTCTGGACGCCCTGCGCGGATCGGGATCGGGACTCGGGGGCCTCTGAAAGCCTTACTGGGAACGCCACGCAGGACGTAGTCGCGAGACCCCCCCAAACGCTTCTGGGGGCCTGTTTGAAAGCCTTCCGGGAGCCTTTTGGAAGCATTCGGGTAGTCTCTGGGGGCCTCTTGGGCCTTCCTGGTGGTCATTTTGGGGCTCCCTGGGCCGGCTGTGGGCCTTCTTGGGCTGTCCTAGGGCCCTCCAGGGCCGTGTTGGGGGGCTTCGGCAGTCTGTGGGCCCTCTTGGGGCCCTCTTGGGGGCCTCCTATGGCTCTCTAGGAGCTGCCTTAGCACACTTTTGGGACCGTCTGCGGTATGTCTTGAGCCGTCTTGGGGCTCTGTTGAGCCGTCGTGAAGCCCTCTTGGGCCATCTTTAAGCCCTATTGGGCCGTCTTGGAGCCCTCTTGGGGCCTCTTGGGTCGTCTTGGACGCTGTGAAAACAAAATGAGCACATGTGCTTCAAATGCACGTTACCCAACGGGATTGTATTGTTTTTTGCCTCTTAGGAGCTTGGGGGGAGCCTCTTGGGCAGTCTTGAGGGCCTCTCCTGCCGTCTAGAAGCCGTCTTGGGCCATCTTTGGAGCCTCATCCAGGGGGGGAGGGGGGCGTGCAGGATGCATAATTATAGAAATATACACCTGTATACATGTGTATATAAGTATACATATACACAGCCGGACCAAGGACATGAGAAAATCCTTCAAGAACATGGGACCCTCCGCTGGCCCACACTGAGGAACCTTTGAGGGTCCCTTCCACCAGGATGCACAAGATCATCCAACAAGAACGAAGAACATCAAGGCATCCTCCCCGAACCGACCTGGATCTTATACATCGGTTCAGCTGTGTCTTTCCCTTACACTTATCCCACATGATCGGGTGCACGGACAATGACTCTTCCTCGGCGGTGTGCGACGATGTCCCTCGCAGTCGTATCGCGACCATAGCAGACCTGATCTCGTGCTGATCTGCCGAACTGCCGACCTGTGCCTAGGAAGGGCACATGCGTTTGGGGCCAGTGCAAGTATCAATATTGCCAACAGATTTCTATGTATACATACTGATATGTATATATATATACATCTATACATACATGCATACATACATACATGCATGCATGCATGCATGCATGCATGCATGCATACACACACATACATACATACATACACACATACATACATACATACATACATACATACATACATACATACATACATACATACATACATACATACATACAAACACACATACATACATACATGCATACCTACCTACCTACCTACCTACCTACCTACC